TAATAAGATGCCTGGTGTCCATCCTGCAAATCTCTACATATATTAAGAAAGATGCTACTGTTTTTGTATGTAGACTTGGACATTGTCTGCTAAGTGCTTGATTTGAATTACAAACTCCTCTGCTTTGGAAAAAGCAGACATGAATATTCCCTTTCCAACAGAGTCTAAAAAATTTGTGGATTGCATGCCTACATTGGAATATCTTTTGAACTGCATAGTTTGGGACAAAAATAGCAGAGAATATGCATGGGTTCCGTGAAAGCCTGAATTTTAAGTGATGTTTGAAGGAAAACAGTTTTACTTTGACACGTGAAATACTGAAGTCTAGTGGATAACAACTACATTATTTTTGTGAAAGGTGCAGTACAAAACAGCCAGCAGACAGAAGCGAAAGCTGCCCGAAAGAACAGTTTTGATAGTGGTGAAAAAAAGAAGCCACGGTCCTGAAAAACTCAAATTATTTTAAAGTAAAAACAATGTAAGACAGTCACCTGGGTTCTTATATGAATTGGGAGAGCATCCAGTTCTGAGAGAACACAGCACATGTAAGCATTAAAAAAAATGTTCTGCAAAGGAAAGCCTGCCAGTTACCACACCAGCATGACACCAGATATTCAACAAACACCCATCCTCTCATCCACATGCTCATTCAAGATCTCCTTGAGGTGTGCTGCTGAAAAGGACAAAGAACCCAAACTGCCTGCTCATTTGCATGGATTTCAGCAATACTCAAGCTAGTTATTCCATGCTATATTACAAGCAATTTAGTGAAACCAATGTAAAAATCCCAGAGCAATATGGTTTTAAGTCCAGTTTACATAATCTTAAATCTACCTGGGAATTTACCACTGCTAGCCAAGCCATTAAATAAGTTATAAATCTACTCTAAATTGGTAAAGATTCATTATCAAAACCTGCAGTTTGTCAGTTTGCCACTAATACTCTGCCTCTAACAGAGCAGCCAGAAAGCCAGCACACCTTTTCTAAAAACAAAACAAAAAGACAGCCCATGCTATACTAAGTATGCTGAAGATACAAAGCTAACATGCATACATGGGATAGACAAGACAGCTTGTGGACCAGGATTCCTCTTCTGGCATAAGGCTTTCACTTACATATACCTGTGACACAAACCACATCATCTAAACTGAAATCTTCCACTAAGAGTTGGAAACTACTGAAGATTTCTGTTCAGCCATCTAGTTGCTCATTGTTCATCCTGAATTCAGCTAGCAATGATGCATTTTCTTTAGCACAGAGCTAAGACAGCTGGAAGTTTGAAGCTACTCGAGATGTCAAAGATGACTTCCTTTCCTTGGGATGATGACTGTGCTCCACTCTACTGCTGTCACACAAATAAGCCTGCACTGTCCATCACCGTTCAGGCTCGTGAGTTATTCCTCCCTACAGCAAAGCTCTTGTAGACTAAGTGGCACTGCAGCTTTGACCCAGTGTATATTTTAGTTCTACTTGCTTGAGTCTCACATCAGGTGCAAACAAGATGATGTTCAGTCGATATTTGGGAAATGTCTTGAAATGTGAATGCTAAAGCTCTCTCTTTTCATTCTTACATTCCAAACATAAAGTGTCTTGGCATCTTTATAAAATATGTTGTAGAGAACAATAGTAGAAAATGTGGTATCTTGCATTTATTTATATAACATGTATCTCTGATGACTGGAAGAAGAGCAGTAAAACTACTGGTTACTTTTTCCAATCAAGATGATCTCTCTTGCCCCAAGAAATCTTGTAACAGGATCACCACTCGAGATCCTGCTCTATGATACTTTGGGAAATACCCATTAGAGGCCCTAGATAACTTTCCTCCATTTACAACCCCCATTCTAATAAATACTGAAATATATTAGTCTTCTTTTCTTCTATACTATTTTTTCTCCTGCCAAATACCTGATCAATGGGTAAAAATCATACCTTCTTGCCTGAAGGCACTGAATAACTCTGCACATAGTCTTTCTTGAAGGACAAGCAATACTAAACACGCCCAGATTGAAATAAAACATTTCAGACATTCATGGCAAGACTGAAAAATAAGAAAACAGACATATAGATCTAAGTGCATTTAACTACTGCAGCTGTCACAGTAACCAACTCACATTATGACCTGGAAAACTGGACATATTAACTTAAGAACAGTCTCCAGTTCAACAGCGAGAACAGTGGGTTCTTGGATCTCTGCGCTAAAGACTAATAACCAAGAAATCTCAAAAACTATGACAATTTGTCTCACTTCCCACCTATTCTAAAACAGGCACTAAAGGAAAAATCAGAGTGGGCACTCTGAAGAGACTGTGGCAGATGACTCAGTAACTGATAATCAATAGCCACATTCCAGAAAAGTATAAAAGAAATAGTTAAGGAGCAACCTGCTCACAGCAAAGTTTCCCAATAAGTTCAATTAGATACTGGATTTCAGGTAGAATCTTACTTAACTCAAAGTGAATCTAAATATTTAGGAATCACATAAGCATCCACTTTTAAGAAATTCAACCAACACAGGATACTGTCAGTGATTTTAGAAGAAAATTTACACAACATTATAAATACTTCCCTTATTTCAAAGCATCATATTTTGTTTCAACCAATGATTCTTCAACTGATGTACAGGTTACTTGGCAAGGCATGGATTTATTATTAATGAGACAGACAACTATTGTGTATTGATGACCCTGCCACATTTCCTGCTTTCCCCTTTAGAGAAGTGGTGCCAGGGAGCATGTTTTCAGAACACCTACCTGTAGCAGAAGAACTAAAAGAACCTTCCCCCTGCCATGCAAAGGTAATCCTACAAGTGCATCAAGTTTTGGAGGCCAAGCAGAAACATGGATACACAAGTACACAATAATATTACCATGGATCTCTTTACCCTGTCTCCCATAGTGAAAGATGGGTACATTCTTCTCACTTTGCAGGCAATTCACTTTCAAAACAAAACTACCTAACACATAAATCTTCATGTTTTAGTGTTCATGACTTCAGAACAGTCACTTTTCAGTCATCATCTTTTCTACAGATGCTGTGATCCAGCTTTCTTTTGCATTTAAACAGAATGTCCTAGGCTTGCATCAATTATTTTGCTACCTATTAAAAAAAACCCAAACAGATACAAAAAGGGGAAACATGTAACAGAGCAGTTAGGATCAGACATTGATTTTCCCCAATGTAGCAATAGAAACTTAGACAGGGAAAGGAAAACCAGAATAAAGACAGCCATGCAAGAATGGTCATTCAGAAATGGTGAATACACTCCTCAGAACAGCATACACCTTCCCAAAATAAGTATCAGCAATAATTTTCAATGTGAGCAGAGGCTGAAAGAGAATGGTAACCACCTAAAGAAAAAATAATTCTTTACATCACCATATTTAAAAATTCCTATTTAGGAATTTTAGTAGTATATACATTTGCACCCATGTCTCTGAGCAGGTATAAGATCTGTGCTCCTGTCTTGAGGGCTCTTCAACAGCACAAATGCAACTGAACATACTAAGCTGCTAGATACAAGCTGTACCCACCCTAACATTTCCTGGCTCAATCTAAAGACATATGGATTAATTTTAAACATCTACCACAGCAGCAGTATTTCCAACAATGCTGCTCCCTCAAGACTTAGGTCCAGACACAACTCTAGGAAGATACAGTATCTCATGTTACGCAGAGATCCCAAGAACATAGCCGAGGGGAATGGAAAAAAGAATAAAAATGTGATGGGTTTATTATGGCTGTGCAATGCCAAGTCAGTGCAGTAAAACCCATCTGATGAACTAACCTAGAGAAAAACAATAGAGAAGACAACGAAAGACACTAGGAGAGAGTTCAGCAATTTTTGTGATCACTGGTACAAAGAGTAAGACTGAAAGGACAGATATACACAAAAAATAAAAACACAAATTCAAGATAGTCAGAAAACACAAGCTCTTGTAAGCCAGAAGTCAAGAGTGCTTCATTATATAAATCCCCACCAAATACTTTTCTAAATCCAGCGAACTGGTGAAACACACCCAACGACCACACTCAAGCAGGACATAAAGAAAGCTGCAACGTTTGAAAAATGTTCCCCGACAACTTCTGGCAGAAGAGAATGCCTGTGCCTTAAAGGTAAAAATGTCTGGGCCACAGTTCCTCAGGAATTTAAAGGAGTTTATTCTGAGGTTGCCTCTCAACTTCCTTCTCGTAACAGTCCTATTAAAAAAGCATGCTGTTATCAACCTTTACTGCTTCTTCACGTATTTATCACCCATTTTACGCTCCGTCTCTCCTGGTTTTTATACTCCTCTTCCTGCTTCATTCCAGCAGTGTCTGTCACGCCTGCTCATACTTGAGGACTGCAAATCCTCACACTGTGCTGAACTCCAGTTTCCCTGACCGTGCTTCTCGTACGCCTGACTCGCCTCCACCCCTGGTGCACCAGCACACATTTCACCAGCGGACAGACCCGCACCACACCGGCGACAACAGCAGCCGCACCCCAGGTTCCTCTAAGTGCCCGGGGCGCCCAGGCCGGCAGGCTGACGGCGGCCGAGCCCGGGACAGCCGCTCCCCCGCCCCGGGGTCCGCCCGGCCTCGCCGCAGCCCCCCCGCCCCCAATGGCGGCGCCGCCGCGGGCCGAGCTCGCACCCGCAGCGCCACCGCCCGCGGCGCTGTCAGCGCTCGGATCAGATACGACACCCGGCAGCCTCCGGCTCCGGGCCCCGGAGGGGCTCCGGCGGGGCGGCACCGCCCCGGGATGGCGAGCACGGGGCGAGGGCGGCGGCTCCCCCGCGGGCGGGAGCGGGGCGGCCCTGGGCCCGGCACCAGCGGCCTCGCGGCGGGAGCGCCGGGGAACGGGGGAGAAGGGGCAAGCAGCCGTTACCTGCGCGAGACGGATCGCGCTTCCCGCCGGCTCGGCTCCCCCCCCGCCCCCCCNCGCCGTTCCTGCCGTGCCGTCCCTGCCGTGCCGTGCCGTGCGCGGCCCGAGCTCCTCCCGGCGGCGCCGCCCTCACCTGCCCCGGGATCCGCCCGCGCCCCGCTCCGCTCGCTGCGCCGCCTCGGGCCGGCTCTGCAAGATGGCGGCGCTTCCGGGAGAGACCACGGCGGGCGCGGCGTGGGGGGGCCCGGGCTGTGCGCCCGCCCCCCCCGCTCCGCCGGGCGCGGCGCGGCCCCGACGCACATGGGGGTGGTGGAGGCGCTGGGCGCCGGCGCGGCGCGGCTTCTCTTCTACCCGTCGCTGCTGTACACGGTGGCGCGGGCGCGGCTGCCCGGGTCCCGCCGGCCCTGGTTCCACCGCATCGACCAGGTCGTGCTGCTCGGAGCGCTGCCGCTGCGGGGGCGCATCCGCAGGGTAAGGCGGGCGCAGCGGGGCGGGCCGGGCCGGGAGGAACGGAGGTCCCTGACGGTGCCTGTGCCCGCAGACAGTGGCGGAGGAGAACGTGCGCGGCGTGGTCACCCTCACCGAGGACTACGAGACCCGGTTCCTCTGTTTTTCTCCCCAGGTGAGCCCCGGGATTGCTGGTGTGTCCCCCCGCCCAGGTCTCTCGCCGGTCTGTCCCGGCACAGGTGAGGCTTTGGCCGCCTCCTGCCGTCATCCCGGCAGCCAGCGCCAAGTCCTGGGGCAGCAAAGACGGGACTACTCGTACCTAAGCCGATTTTAAAAACGATGCGAGAAACCAGTAAAACGTGAACGTGCGAGTGAACTGCAGCTACAGTGACAGGGAAAGACAGGGAGCATGGAACATCACTATACAGAAATGCCTTTGGGTTGGGAAGAGATCCTCTTTTCCTTTAGCTGAAATACATTTTTTCAGTCCCCTTTAACTACTACCTTCTGATGACCAGGACTGATGTTTTCATACATCTGATTTGAAGGATTGATGTTCAAAGTCTGTTTACAGCCTCGGTGAATTTCCCAGCTGTCTCAAAAAGTTCTGAGTTTCAGTAAAAAAAACAACCCAAAAGTTCACTGACCAAATCTGCTACGTCTGTTACAGGAATGGGAGGCAATGGGAGTGGAGCAACTGCGTCTTAGCACTGTGGATCTAACTGGAGTTCCCACCTTGGAAAACCTGCAGAAGGGCGTGGAGTTCATCCTGAGACACCGGGCCCGCGGTAACAGTGTCTATGTGCATTGCAAGGCAGGACGCTCCCGCAGTGCCACCATGGTGGCAGCATACTTAATTCAGGTCAGGAGTCTCTGCCAAATGGGGTGAAATTTCATTTAAAAATGGAAATAAAATGCAGACAACCTTTATAGTTTACACTTGCTCAGGACACCTGAGCATGTACAGGTTAATATTCCATGATTTTACAAAGCTTGGTCACCCATTTTAAGAGAGGCCTCAAACTTACCTTGTTTTGAATGCAAATGCAAATTTTGAATTATTCTGCTTTTCTTAATTCTTTCTGTGGAGAAACAGATTGAGATGGGAATAACAAGTCACTCATGACCACAGGTTCACTTAGCAGATAAACATATGTTTTTGTTGTTCTTATTTTCTCCTTGGTTCACTGGAGTGGTGAGCCTTCCTATGCTTTTCCATAAATACAATTCAGGATCAAGAGAACTGACTTGTTTTCTGAGTTCCTCTACCAACCCAACTGGGGAAGCCAACAGTAAGAACAAAATCCCGCCTGTGGATTCTTCCATTGGTGTTACTAAGCACTTCCTGGAAAATTTGCCATTACTGTTGAAAAGAAAACTTTCTCACTAAGTGCTGAAATGCAATGAGAGTACCAGTAGAATTTTTTAAAAAAAATTTTTAAAAGCAAGCTGGACTTTTGCTCTGGTTTAGTGGGGCTGGGACAGGAAACTGTTCACAACATGAAGGAACAGTGAGCGAGACGGAAAGTGGAGGGCCCAGGCAGCAACCATTCCTCTATAACTGAGGGACACATTTAATGAATGTGTGACTTGCAGGCCTCTCTGAGAGCAACATCAATAAACCTAAGGGGCAAAGCTGCACCAAACTGTCTAACACCTCTAATATTGCCCGTAGCCTCCAGGAGGGTTCCATTAACTGGTGCAAAGATGGAATGGGTTTTCACTTGCTGGGTTTCTGCCTTTTCAGCTGCATCACTGGAGCCCTCAGGAAGCAATAGGGGCCATTGCCAAGATTCGTCCCCACATCCTCATTCGACACAAGCAAGTCCAGGTCCTGGAGAAATTTCACAAGAACATGGTCAATGGGAGAACTGCATAACTTAGTAAAAACTAATCAGAATCAAAATCCTCATTTCAGCTGCTACAAAAAAAGTTTTTATGAGCTAACAAAAGCTTAAGGGTTTTCATTCTTGACAATCAATAAAGAACATTTTACAGTAAAGGGGAAATAGGGCTGTTTCATTAAAGCTTTCTTTCCTTATGGCTAATATCCTGCATCTCTTGGAGTCCCACAGTTCTTTTCCGTGCATCAGTGCCGAGCAGAACTGCAATCCACAGAAAGTTCAAAAATATTTGTATTTGAAGCAAAGAGAAAAAACCAAAATACTTTGTCTCAGTAGAGACTTTATTCAGATTCTTACCCAAAGGGTTACAGTGCCAACAGAGAGGGGTAGGAGGAAGTTCTGTTTTTTCACCAACACTATGTTATAATTACAGGTGGGGATTTTCTGTACAGTAAAGGAAGCCAATGCTCTAAAAATTATCTCCCTCTTTATGCTAGGTGATGACAGAGCATTAAGCAAGTACTCATTTGGTTACCACTCCTCTAGGAGAAGTGCTGAATGTAACCTAAGGGTCCTGGGGTCAGTTTTGGAATCTGTCTGCCAGGCCCTCCTTCTGCAATAGGACACAGGAATGTTTAAATGGGGCATCCCTGGGGGACACAGTGCACGTCTAACTCTGTGACGGACACAGCAGCAACACGCAGTCTCCTAGGCAGTTAAAACTAGCAGTCTGGGCCAAGGAGAATGTTCTCCATATGCCACAGGATTTTTTAGTGGTGGATTGGTTCCAGGCTAAAATAGCCACTTGCTGCTGTTTGGGCCTCAAATGCAAGCAGCTTACCATCAAGGAATCAAAGTAATAGTATTTAGTCCATCTGAAATCTAAGATACAACAGTTCAATATGGTTGTGACAGTGCTATGTAAAAGAATAGGCCCACAGTCAGAAAGCCTGTACTTCCTCTGCACAGGTACAGAGGATGGGGTCTTTACTGGATGTTGTGAGCTTGTAGTAATTGGGACTGGTGCTGAGGGTCGTGGGTGTAGCACAGCAAGACACTGTTGCAAGACACTGTTGCTGTCTTACTATCACTGGGCCTGTTTAGGCCAGGACAAACTGCAGGTTAGTGAGCAGCACTTTGATGCCACTTGTGACTGTTACAACAGAGGTGGCTGGGTTAAGTTTAAAAGTATTTGCATCACCCTTTTTATAGCGGTCGCGAAAGACATAGATGCTGCCATTGCAGCTGGCAATTTTCCAGAGGGATGGTACTGAGCTCCAGGCATCTGGGAGGCACAGCCGGGTGAAGCTATCCAGCAGTGGATTGTAGCAGAGCAGTGAATCCCCCTCGGCCACAATGAACACCACATCCTTGTGCACAGCAGCGTGCATGCACCCTGCGAAAGGCAGTACGTATGGCTTCACGTGGCATTTCTCTGTGTTGGTATCATAGCACTGAATGAGCCGAGAGGGCTTGGTGAAGAAGTCTAAGTCATTTTCCTCCCCACCCAGCAGGTAAATGACACCATTAAGGTTCACCCCTGCAGCTCCAGAGACTGCCACTTCCAACTGGCTGGTCTCTGTCCAGACGTTGTCTCGTACTCTGTAATATATGACAGCATTAGAGAGAGTGTCCTGTAGAGTTTTCCCCCCCAGTGAATATATTGCATCTTTGCTTGGCACAGAGACGAGGGTGTGCTGGAGCCGGTCACGGGGCAGAGGAGCACACCATTCCCAATCTATAGTTGCATTGTTGCATTTCCACATGCGCCGTGGAATGGAGCCACCAACGACATACAGGTCACTACCGTGCTTGCAGGCCGCGGTGATCTGGTGACACAGGCTGTTCTGGCCACTCACACTGATGGAGTCATCGTCAGCACAGTGCAGAGAGACAGCGAGGGAATGTGTACGTGATGACTCCTTTCCAATCAGGTAGATGTGAACATTTTCTCCAATCACCTGAGCGAAAGTAGAAGTTTGTCAGCAGAATTAGATCTGTTCACACAAACATCAGTGATGCTCGAGACTGAATTTTTCAGTTTAGTACCCACCTGTGGGCCTGAGGTATGTAACCTCCTTCCCAAGTCCTGCCACCCTAGAACATTCAGGATTCAGAGCCTCAAGGCCTTTTCAAGATACCTTTCATATCTGACACAGTAAAATAGCCACAGATGTCACTTGTACACAAGTGTTCACGGTTCAGGTAAGGGCCAGTTACATCACTGATAAAGTGCAGTTGTTACAAGGGGAATGCCAAATAGATTTCTGAACAGTTTATTTGGTAAATGAGATGAAGTAAGTTATGTGTGGCACTGCACCTATCACCAGTGAAAGCAGTTTCAGGTTAAATGAAAAAAAAGCTGTCAGTGGGGTTGCTATTTATGACACTGAAAGTATCCTCTCACAAGCACCATGAATTTCAATGACATTTGTGTTTTGTGACTTTCAAGTCACACCTGTGAGCAGAATACCCTCCCCTGAGAAGTGTGAAACCAGAAAGCGCCACATCAGCCCCAGAACGTAATGTCTTTTTATACCTTCAGACTTGATCGCAGAGTCTCCGAAAAGCCTGCTCGCTCCTCCTTGTTGAAGTTTATCCAGGTTTCTATGGCAACTGTTGGATTCTGAGAACATGGAACGCCATCTGCAGTTCGGGGACAGAAAGGCATTTATGATATCTAGACAAAGGTGTACATACTCAGGAACACCCTTTTCCTGCAGCTGCCTCCCCCCCACTCCCACCACAAAACCTACTTTCTAGAGACGAAAAATAGACAGAGGTGTTTACAGATTTTGTCAGGCATGATCAGCACTGCCAGCCAGCCAAATACATTAAATTAATTTGGGTAACTATAACAAGACTTATAGTTCTTACATAGACTTATAGTTCTTATATAGACTTATAGCTGCAGATCTTAAGCACTTTGGATGAGTTTCAGCAATCTATTCAGGAATCTATGACCAAGAGAAATAGGACAGGAAAGAGAACTTACATGCTGTGTGATGATGACAAATACTTTCTTATTTAATCATTTAGGCAAAAAGATTCTGTTACTGAGAATCTCAGCACCTGCCTTTCTTTCTGGCTGGTCCCAGAAACCCGTCTAGCAAAAGTCATCTACAAAATACGTCTGAGCACTGTCAGGCAGCTGACCCTCATGACTGAACATCTGGTGTTGCTGCTATCCTCTTAACATTTGGAAATCCCCAGTGAGCTACTAGAGCTTTTCTAAGCTGTGTGACAGTAGCAAACACTCCAGAGACTGCATCAGATTTATATCTCTTTCCAGACATAACTGGAAGTTTTGGTTAAACCACAAATCATCCTCATCAGTACATTACCTAAAAGATTTTAGGTATTTCCTTCCAGTTTGAAAGCCAGCAATTATGCCTGTGTTCCTTGAGAAGCTTCCCTATGAAGACTCTCTTTTTATAGTCTTTTCTCATGACAAACTCTGAATTCAATGATGCTGAAGGCACCATACAAATTCCAATGCTTTTCTCTATAGTGGAAGGCAGCAGAAAAAGTGTGGCACAAAAGCAGGTATTTCAACTCTGTTTAAAAGGATTCCCACAAGCTAACTCTCACATGAAGTGCCTAAATGGAAATTTTTTTTTTAATTGGTCCTAGAGTGCAACAGAAGGTAAAATTAAAAGAATTATTATTTCATTAAATTAATTTTAATCCTTGCCACTAAAAGTTTCCTCTATTTAATTACCCATTAACTAAATGAAGATGCAGGAAAGCAAAATAAAAGGATTTTTCCTACCAACAGTAGGGAAGTATTTCAGATTTTAATCCATTTTATGAGCTAAGTTGTAGCAAAAATGCTGGGTAACGTGATTCTACATATGAAAATAGATGATGCATGGAAAAAAGATACTGAGCAATTGTTTTAATTTATGACCACAAGTGCTAAAGTCCATAGTCCTAAAACTGTTTTTTCTGTGGAATCCCTAGAAAAAAATTAAAGGTGATTGACCTCTACAGTTTTATTTCATGATTTTAGTTTTTTTAAATGAACTTGTGACTTACTTAAAAAACTTTGGCTAGATAGTTATCAAAATTACTCTAAGTTTATCACAGTTTTTGAGCTATCAGTACTCAATAGGTTTTTGACTGTAAATTTCTTTAGATACAATAGAGGTAATTTAATGCAATATCTATAAATACTCTCATATGCATAACATCAACTCTAAAGGCTAGTTTAGGTCTTGTGGATAGATTTGCCAGTGTTCCAATGAAGCTAGTCATGATAGGTTTAGTTTTGCAACTGCATATAAAACACATGACACACGAAGTCTAGCTAGTTACTCAGTTACAAAGAGTAATTAAAAGCAAGAAAGAGGCACATTTGGATGTATGAGCTCCTTCTACGTTCTTGTTTCCTCTAGCAATGATACATAACTGCAGAAGAATGGACTTGTGACTGCAGCTTCCTGGAGAGTTAACAAGTACTGACCGTACCTACTAGGGCGGCAGATCTTTAAGGACTGGTGGAAACTGGACTAAGTTGTTTATGCGTTGACATGTCCTTCACAACTCTGAGTCATGGCATCCATTACTGGGGAAGGCTATTACCTTTAGAAGAAGGGCAATTACTGTACTACTCAAGATGTTACAATGCCTCTATTTCAGTCAGTTGAGTGCCTAAGTAATCCTAATAATTATATACAATTGTAAATAACACTAAAATATGTGCTTAAGCCTTCTTACAGATGTTGAGTTATTGCACTACTATGTTAAATGTTTATGAGCTAAAGGGATAAAAAATACTTTCATCAGATGTGTATTTTTGGAGTGGTGAACGTTCATCACTCCAATGGTGAAGCCAGTGCTTCTTTATTTTACTTTTAATGCAAACAAAATTACAACAAATTGTTGGAAACTGGGTTTAAAAAATGTGTGACACTTCTAACCTGTTGACTCAGGAACTGCTGTGAATGTCCGGCATCCTGTATGTCCCTTTTCTATAGCTTAGATGTTTCATGTCCAGTAACAATTAATAGTTTGGGGCTTTTTCTGATAAAGGTATCCAGAATGTTTTGCTCGGCCTTGCTTAGCTAAGTCTCTGAATAGGCAGTGATTATGAAAATTTGTATCTTTCCATCTATTTCATTCACTACCTGACCAGACTCTGAAAGTCTCTTTCTACATCCACATCCTAGGTAGTTTCAAGAACTCCTTACCTGTAAGGATGTCTGTCAGCAGGCGGAGAGGCAGGTGTAGGAACTCCTCTGTCTCCTGCAGCTGAGACAAATGTGACTTTGCACAGTGTTTGGCAGCTGTGTAGAGCTCCATGTCACTGTGTTGATCTGCCAACCACATGACCTGCAGACAGTTTCTAACCTGCACCGTACGGGCCAGAAAACGGGAGCACTCTTCAAAAAGGGCAGTCAGCTGGTACATGTCTGCCACTTCATAGGTTTCCTGCAACTCCTCTGCCCTCAGCTTTACAGTTCCATGGTAAATATAGTCCACAAGGAGCTGAAAGACACTCTCACTAACATCCTGCAGCTCTATCACCCGGTTGTGGGCCTCCTTTAGGTTGGAAGTGAACATAGAACGAAAAAAGCAGCTCTGAGCTGAGAGGACCAAACGGTGCAGCTGAAATTCTTTGCCTTCCACTGATATTGTAACATCAGCAAAGAGCTCATCCTCCAAGCATAATTTCATAATACCCTGGGCCACGCGGCCCGAGTGGGAGCGATCAGTGAAGGTGTAGTTCACAAAGTAGTTTTCTTCTGCAGAGGAGCCTCCAGTCTCTTCTGACGAGTCCATGGTGCTGCACAAATCAGACCTCCAGCAATCTGTAAAATCACAATAATTATACAGCTTTCTCTCACCACTAACAAGATTATGCAGTACTTCAGGGTACAGGGAAAAATCAAACATATTGGTAAGAGTCCAGCATATTTCGACTTAACATAAATAGCACAGCTTGAGCTTCAGAATCTCAACCAGCAAATGAGAAGTTGGCATAATTAAAATTATAATATATACCAAACTTCCAGTACAGTGAACATCACACCCCAGCAGGTCTGGGAGACGTGCATTCTTTTCACCACTCATTTCACTGACACAAAGAAATGCAGCAAGTTATTCAAGTGGAAAGTCCAGCAACTGCCCTAGGAAACTTGCAAAGCCAAAAAAAGCAGCAGCAGCATGGCTGGACTAGATGTGAAAAGGATTACAGCATCATACTAAAAAAGAGCACAGGCAGCAGTTCATCTCATCAGGAGGTGTTAATTACTGTCAAAACCCAATGATGAATCTGTATCAAGATGAACTTGTTTTTACCAAAAAGATGCACAAGATGTCGGCCTGACATAACCACCAGTCCTTCCAACTAACCAAATGAGATAACTGATGGTTATGCTGTTTGTTAACGTGCCAGTCAACTTCAGCATGCAAAACAACATTTCAGATGTTATTAGAGACCGCTTCCCACGTGGAAAGGGGATCAAAATTTAAAAGAAAACACTTTTTAGCAGGTACCATGGATGTCTGCAGTGCCCCAGGTAGTTTGTGGGTCAGAAAAGCTTCTGAAACACAGAAGGACTACTACAGCAAGGAGCCCTTTTTCACCATGGCTCTTGACAGCATTAGGAGCAGTTGCCTAACTGCATTCATTTTAGACTTATTTTTACAACTGACCTACCAGCCATGATGTGTAATATCAGAAATTTCTTCAATTAATAATGCACATTATTTCAAGAACAATGTTTCACAAAGATGTGATTTTTTTTTCTCTAGCAGATTCATAGTTACTCTTCCATGGTTTACCTTGTCAAACATGCATTTTCTTACAATTACTCTGCTTGATCAGGCGGGCTCCTAAGTTCTTTGCTCAAATTCTGTTCATGGGAAGTAGTGTCTACATCCCTAACTGGCTGGACAAATCCATCTCATCTCTGGTGATAGCCTGCCTTAATTATATTCTAATCTCGATTTTACAGCAGTTCTGGTCTGTCTGAAAAGTACCTATATATTAGTCTGTAAGAGACAGAGGAACTGCAGTCAGCATAGAACACATCAGTACTATTTTTCCAGCTTTACAAAGTATAAGCCTATCCTGCAAATTGGCTTCCACTTTGGTTAAAGCTCTCTATCCATACAGTCAAGGTGCTTAGGAGCTTCAGCCCAGAATGCAGAAGAGACCACACAGAGCACCAGGATATGGACAGATGAACTATTCTGCCCCCTTGGCATGGAAGAATCAGCTGCCCACACTGCCCTGCACAACTCCCAGAGGACTGATGCCAAGTCACAAAAGAAATGCCAAGAAGCAGCTAAAAACTCCACAAATCTCACGCCCTCCTGCAGACTCGCAGACAGAGCTCCCCTTTGCACCCATGGTGTCTCTGCTATAAAGAAAGAGGCATGCAGGACAGTTAACTGCCTCATAAAGCCAAATCGTATGCTCCATGCATTCCATTGGCCTAGCTATCAGTGACAGTGGTTTAACCAACAGCTAGTACACCTCCATCACAGAATCACAGAATCACTTAAGCAGGAAAAATCCTCTGAGATCATCAATGCCAACCTATGGCTGAACACCACCATCTCAACGAGACCATGGCGCTGAGTGCCACATCCAGTGTGCAACACCTCCAAGGAAGGGACAGCAACACCACCACCTCCCTGGGCCGTCCATTCCAGTCTCTAATCATCCTTCCTAATGTCCAGCCTAAACCTCGCCTGCAGCTTAAGCCTGTGTTCTCTCACCCTGTCGCTGGCTGCCTGGGAGAAGAGACCAAGCCCCAGCTGGATACATCCTCTTTCAGGCAGCTGGAGAGGGTGATAAGGTCATCTCTGGGCCTCCTCTTCTCCAGGCTAAACTAACAGCCGCTTCTCATAAGACCTGTGCTCCAGCTTCCTTCTTTCCTTGCTTCTGACAGGGTCGCAGATGCCACGGCGGCGCCCGGGATGGGAGAACCCTTAAGCACAATTGACAGCGACCCCGCGGTCCGGGGCGGGGAGAAGGCAGGAAGGGAGGCTGATCCTCGGAGAAACGCAGACTCTCACCAGGGCCGCGCTGACGCTGTGCAAGGCTCAGCGCTGGCTCAGCCCGGGGGCTGCCGGGGTCCGCCGCCCTCCGCGCCCGCACCTCCCGGCGCTCGCTGCTCCGTCCCCGGGCCGGCGGCCGCGCCGCTCCCCCGGCCGCGCCGCGCGGCACCCACCTGCGGCGCCTCCCTTCATGCCGCCGCCCCGGGCTGCCCCAGCGGCTGCTCCCGGCCCTCACCCTGCGCCAGGCGCCGCCGGGCACTCGTCGATTCCGCCTACCGACCCGGAGCCGTCCCCGGGAAGCTCTTCGCGCGCTTCCGCCCCCGGGGGAAGCGCGGCGGCGGCGGCGCTTTCCGCTTCCGCCCCGTGCCCTTGCCCGTCCGTGTCCCGGCGGGATGTGGGCGGCGGCGGCGCGGGGCCTGGCGCGGGCCGCGCTGCGAGGTGAGGCTCGGGCGCTGTGCCGCGGCTGTACCGGGGCTGTAACGGGGGCTGGGGCCGGGCCGGGCCGGGCGGTTGGCGGTGGTCGATGAGACGTGTCCGTTTCTCTCCGCAGCTGGCGCGGCACCGGCGGCGGCACGGGCCCGGCTGGCGGGGAGCTCCGCCGCGGACACTCGCCGTAAGTGCGGGGCCGGTTTGGGGGCGCGGGGCGGAGGGGCCCGAGGCGTGCGGTTGTGCCGCTGCCGGCCGGCGGGAGGGCACCGAACCGGCCCACGGAACTTCGTGGGCGGTGGAACCGCTTTAGTGAGCCTTCGGGAAAGGGTTGGTCCGGTTACCCGAAAATCCCAGTTGCGCAGAAAAGCGGCTGTGTTGGTAACCGTGCTTGCTCTGGGTTCCTGTCTGCATCCTCTCTCACATGCAGGGCCCAGCCTGTTTTTTCTGTGCAAAGCTGTGCCTGGGCAACAGCTTCATAGCCCCTCATCTCCCTGACCCTTAAGGGCTTTTGTTGTATCAGTGAAGAAACCCACCCCAGCAACGTGAGCTGCAAGAGTGTTTTGATTACGAGGGGCTTGCTTAGATGTTGACACATCCAGCAAAGTCAGAAAACAAGGCCCTTTCTAGACCCAGGTTGAATGACATGAGCGGTTCCTAAGTTCAGATTGTTCTGTCACCCCTGCTGCCCTGTTTTTCATCTGGCTATTTACTTCTCCATCATCTTGTTGAACAATTCATGCTGCTCTTTAGAGCTGACTAAATTTTAGCACTGACACAAATTTCCTTCATTATCAAAGTGTTTAGTTCCACCTTCTGTGTAACACAAGTATGTTGCTATAGCATAGATTCCGACAGATGGCTAGACTGGTTAAAGGGAGTTACTACTCTTATTTCTGTAGCGTTCTGTATTCCCTGTCATAATCTTAGAAAATTTATTTTTCTCCTTAGCTACTGTCAGACCAAAAAATGAAGCAGAACAGAAGCAGCTATGTGCTTTTGGGGAGTACGTGGCTGAGATTCTGCCCAAGTATATCCAGCAAGTACAGGTAGGTGCTGTTCAAGAAATTGTTCTTGTGGTGGGACAAGATCCAGCAAACACACCACTTTTTTGTTACCTGTTCAGAGAAGTTGTTCTGGGGAAGAAAAATGGTCAGAATTCCATGAAAAGTACTGCTGGTTTTAATCCCCTTGATCTGATGCCTTTTTGTGTCTGCTGTGTCTCTTTGTTTGAGCGTTCTGCTGAAATCAGCATCACGTTTGGTCCTGTTGGTGTTTGTACTCATGCGCTTTCCAACTGTTCTGCTTTCATCAGGTGACCTGTTTCAATGAGCTAGAACTTCTGATCCATCCAGATGGGATCATTCCCGTCCTGACCTTCCTTCGTGATCACACCAATGCCCAGTTCAAATCCTTGGCAGACCTGACTGCCGTTGATGTCCCATCTCGGCAGTACCGCTTTGAGGTAGGAAATGCTCACAGGTGCAGTACTTGTGCTGATGGCTGTGGGTGCTGTTGCAGCTTTGACCACTTTCTTTGGTTTCTGGCTGTGAGAAGAAAGTTTCAAGAGTAGATAGAATTCTTTAAGTCAAAGGCCTCCAGCTGCTGAAGAAGTGAAATATTTTTTAAATTCACTATTTTTCTTTCAAAAAATCAAGCTGGTAGACTCATTGAAATAATAGAAATATAGACCCTAATTTATTCATCTTTTCCAGTCACCAAGGCAGTATCAAACAAGGCTTTAAAACTCCTTACAAATTTTTGGGATCGTCTTTTCAGTCTGCTTGTAGTATGTCATAAACAGCCTTTGTACTAGACTTCATCACCATAGATGTTGGAAATGTTCCCTGGTATCCAACTCACTTGCTGAAAATTAAGTGTATTTTTTCTTAGTTTTCTCCCACAGATAGTAATTGCAAGAGTGATTGATGGCCATTTTCTTTGAGACAGACCATTCATTGTCAAGTGTTTCTCTCTTTAAGATTTAGTATCTCTCTTTAGTTCTTTGTCATCAGTCATGTTGTCTAAGTCTCTCACAGCTTTTGTCACACTCCTAAGGACCAAAGTGATAAGCTTTGGAACCTCAGTTGTAGGAGTGTCTTTTAGTGGCCAGCTCTGAAGTGCTGAATGCGATCCTGCTCATAAAGAATATTTGAAATAATCCTTGTGTGGCTTTGCTTAGGCAGTGGTGTACTGCAAGGAGGTCCATAAATGCTGCCTGTTCTCTGCCTCAGATTGTGTACAACCTCTTGTCGCTGCGCTTCAACAGCCGGATCCGTGTGAAGACGTACACCGATGAGCTGACACCCGTCGACTCAGCAGTGCCTGTGCACAAGGCAGCAAACTGGTATGAAAGAGAGGTGAGTGCTGGTGTGCTTGGGAACAGAGTTGTCTTTGTGGAGAGAGGCTGTATTTTCCCAATTTAAGTGATTCCCCAACGCCCTCAGGAAGAAGGAGAGAAGTGTTTCCCTGGCTGCCTTTTCAGAGTAGGAGATAAAATGGTGTTTGATTTGCTTTTGAATGAATTCCTGCATCAGTTTTGCTGGCGCTGTACAAAGCCACGCATGTAACTGAAATTTTATGGACATAACACATGCAGGTTTTTGGGTTTTGTTCAAATACAATTCAACTAACTTGGCTCCCTTTCATTTAGGTTTGGGACATGTATGGTGTTTTCTTTGCCAACCACCCTGATCTAAGGCGAATCCTCACAGATTATGGGTTTGAGGGCCATCCATTCCGGAAGGACTTCCCACTCTCTGGTTATGTGGAGGTAGGAGATACAGTCATGTCTAAAGTTACCAGGTCTCTCCAATGATCTTTTCTGAGTTCCAGTACAAATATGGGATTGCTTTACAATTACTTGTCTGTATTCCAGAGGAGTTGTATAAATCTGCATAGAAATTTGAATTATCACACAAAATATCATCCATAATAAGGCAGCCTAAGGCTGCAGAAATTGAGCAAATGTTATGTGCTGTATACCAAACATACTTGTCAGGCAGAGAAAGTGCTTCTGCTTTCAGAATGTTTTCTGGAAGATTAAATTTCCACTGCAAAACTGAGATGTCTAGAAGGATAAAGGACTGAACCCTTCTTGATTCAGTTGGAACTTCATTTTGTTGAATGTTTGTAGGCCCAGATTATAAAACTGATTAAACTGACTCTTGCTGTTTACCATTTACCTCTGTATGCCAACCACAGGTGAAATGAGAGTGTTTGGTATCTGTCTAGTTTCAAGTGACTGCCCTGTAGGAGCAGGTGTATTTGGTGTAGTGTTAAGACTGAGCTGAGTCTCAGAAGGAAACAGTGAAGTTCTGCAAAAAAGAGGCTGTTTTAAGAAATACAGAAATAACAGAATCCTGCATGCAAGGGTAAGGCAGCATCTCCTCAGCTGGGGTTCAGAGATCTGGACTGGCACAGTGAGGGTAAAGCAATCCATCAGAAGTATCTGGTACTCACCTGCATTCCATCCTGATTGTCTTCTTTTTCTCCCATTTTTCTGAGTGTTATGCAAAAAGTTAGAACAACTAAAACCACACAAATGCCATATTACAAAGATTCATGAGTGTAGTCCTCAGCCATGCAGGCCCAGGATGGGCCATCATGTTTCAGTGACTCAGGAGGAATTCCTTTGTCAAATGACATATTAAATGTGCTATTGCACGTGAACTTCATGTGGACTGTTAGGGTGGGTGTTCCTAATTCTGGGTGCTTAGTCATGGCACTTGAGGGGCATGGCAGCAAAGCAAAGAGGAGGGTTTTCCTGGACACTCCAGAGATCTCAGTTGCATCTGGAGAGCTCTTGTGAAGTAATGAGGAGAGCTGAAGCTGTGGCAGAGGCCTGTGGGCCTGTGTTTTCCCCATGGGTGAGTAGAGTTGTCTGCACAGAGGGTGGTCTGGGTCATTACTGTCTCACTGCACAGCAGACATGCTGCAGGAGCAGGGTGCAGATGATGGCCTGTGTCCTTTGTGCTGTCCCAGGTGCGGTATGATGACGAAGTCAAACGGGTGGTGGCAGAGCCTGTGGAGCTAGCTCAGGAATTTCGCAAGTTCGATCTGAATAGCCCGTGGGAGGCATTTCCTGCCTATCGTCCAGCTCCAGAGCCCCTGAAAATAGAAGCAGGAGCCAAGAAAGAAGATGCCAAATAGCAGCAGAAGGAAGCAGATGTGCAGCACCATCCTTTCTGTTCCAATATAGTATTTATAATAATAAAAATTGATATGAGATGCTTGCCTGTTGTGATCTCGTGAACAATATTTTCAAACTAGATGAAAAGCACAAGGCTCTGGAATGCTGATTTACAGTCCTTATGACCCAACTGGTAGATGTTTAGTTGGTGCTTTGAATTGTAAATCAGGGGATTTGTCTTTTTGGTTTGCAATTGAACAGAGTGCAGGCATTGCCTGTGGCCCAGTGTTTCCTGAACACTACTACTGCCAGCAGTCCCTGCAGGTAAGCAGGTAAAAATCAGAACCTGAGCACTCCCTAGACACTGCACGGAAGCAGCTGTGGAGTTTGGACAATGGGACAACAGTTTCTTAGCTCCAGAATGAGTGTTGGGAAGGTGGTGATAATATGGCAAAAAGGCAAAGCCTGTAAATGCTACTAATGCAGTTCCTGTCAGGACAACACAAATGTATGTGGGTCCAGACCAAAACAATTATGGAAATCTCTATTGTTTCCATGGGAATTAGGTCAGTGCCTTTTTTCCCAACAGAAGGAGCTGCAGTTAACCTCTGATGTGATACTCCCTCAGTCTGGGTTTCACTTCATAATCAAGCAGTCTTTATTTTCTCCAGCATCTTCAGAGTGTGCTTTCTTTTTCCAGCCAAAAATATACCCCTCCCTTGTTTCATAGACAAGAGTCTGTATATTTTTGTCAGTATTGCAATTATTTTGAACTCTATGATACAACAGCATTACCACTTTCTTTGCTCTTAGGGAAAATCTCTTTTTTTTCCAAAAAAGCTGGAAGAATGCTGTAGTTCCAGTCCACCCACCACCTGTTTGAATGGGATTACATTACAGCAGTCATCAATTAATAATGTCCCTTGTCCTTGGTCCAGAAAATGCATAATGCTGTTCTGCACCAGAAAGCTGACAGACTTCATTAAGATCTGAACACTGTTGTATAAGAGACTTCATAAATTAATTCACAAACGGTTTGTAGAGAGTCCCTGAATTGATACTTAATATTTTAAATTCTAAAAGAACTAATTAAAATAGGGGTTTGGGAGAGGTTAGGGTATGGGATGGAGGAAGGGATACAAGAAGATTAGATTCAATTAAAAAAAAATCCTACTTGCTGTGACTAGAACGTGATCTCTTTCCAAGAATAAAGACTGAACTGTATTCTAAGAATTGGGTTTCATATTTGTTTCTGCCCCAGCCTTGTAAGCATGGGCTGGTTCATTTTTTTTTTAATTTATTTTTAAAGTTTTGTTTCAGCTGCTGTGGCCAGCAGTGTTTGGGATGTGACACAACAGTATTCTCTGGTTAAAATAAATACCATTTGCCACTCACCTTAAAAATTACAGCTCTACATGGGAAGGACAAGTGAACACAGATCTGCAGAAGTTTGGGGTTTTATGGAATTCTTAGCTCTGTTTTGGATCTGTCTTCAACTGAGCAGATTAAATAGGAAACAAACTCTAGTTCTTTCTACAAGATGTTCCACAGTTGGTTGTTTTCTTTGCAGTGGCTCTCACAGCATGCTGATGCCTATTGGGCAAGACAAAAGTTTCTGGTGCCACTTCTATCACCATGAAAATTCTTTATAAATCACATTTCCTTTCTGTGTGCTCCTTTATCTCAGGTTGCTTGAGACACCACACCAAGACTTATGGTCTATATATTACAAAAATTTGCATTTCCCAGTATGGTAAGTCAGTCTGATGGTAACAGGAAAACTAGGAAATTTGCCTTTTAAAATTAATGTTTGTAGAGAATTTGATCAACATCAAGAAATGTCAGACACGATGCCTGTCAAATTAGACATTATGCAAGGTTTGCCCAAGAATGTGTACCCTGGAAAAATAGCCAGCCCTGTGGGATCAGGCATTGGCTCCAGCACGTCTTCAATATGTGGAATAGTTGCAAGTAAACCTGAATCTCTTCTCATTAGTGAAGCCTGGGAGATCAGGAAGGCTGCAAGTTACTCACCTAGGCTCATTTTCCCAGGGCACAAGAGGTTGCACAGCCTCAGAGAATACTTGTGCACTCTGCTTCCTCTACTGCTCCTGAGCTCCAGAGGCCATTTTCCTCATGGAGCCTGCTCACTCTGGGATCCTTGTGGCTGTGGTTGGTGGACACTTGCTTTGTGCTGGACAAGGCTGTGGTCAACTTGGCCAAGCACAAAGCTGTCTTCCAAATCCTCTGTCCCTGCCTGTTGCATACTGCCAGCTTCTGCGGGGCTTGTTTGCCTGGGTTGGATTCCTCAACTGCAGGAGGATGTGGGATGAGATGTAAGTCAGATGTAGCTGACTTACAGACATATATACAGAAGAGAGATTTTCTGGTACTGAAGGGATAGATAGACTTAAGGCAATGACTCACAGTCACTGTGTTGAGCTTCTCCAGCTGAGTAGGTTTTGCTGGTGTTTTCCAGAACTCTGGCATTTCTCCCTACAGCCAGGCAAGCAGACTGTCCTCCCTGGGATGTGGCTATTGACAGTGTCTACCTACCTCAGGTGCAGTAGGTGCGGTGGGATGGGGCCCTCCCTGTCACTTTTATGCAGCTCATTACTCTTTCAAGCAGTAGATGCTGCTCACAAACTGAAACAAAAAGACAAGGAAAGCATCCTTGTAAGGACTGGCTGTACCTTACCTGGAAAATACCAGTATTACAGAGGTCCTATCTGGTTACAGTCAGTGCTTCACTCCTGCTTCCCTCAAGGTTTTCTTACTTCTTCCACTCCAGTAACTCAAACATCACCTTTCCCGGGAGTCACATATGTTCTTCTTCCTTCCCCTCTTTCTGCAATCTTCTTCATTCCCTGAGCATCTGCCAGACAACATCAGGCTGGGGAGCAATCTCCCCAAATTCCGGGTGAGACGATGGAAGCAAGCGGTTTCTTCAATTCCATTGAATTGAAGAAGGATTTCAATTCAAATTGAAGGAGAATTTACCTTTTGTGAATGTCCTATCTCCTTGAAGTCCTACTTCAAAGAAAGTCCCCTCCTAAAGAGGCTCTTCTGGCACCACACCTTGTGCCTCAATCAGCATCCAACCAGTTCCTGCATTTTTTGACCCCTCTTCTCTTGCTCTCATTTCCCATGTTTCTGCTTCAGGAGGTCAGGGTGAAAAAGAAGAAACCAGTCAAGTTGTCCCTGCATAAACCTGGCTTGTGACATTTTGAAACTGCTCCAGTAACAGACGGTATGGCCAGGGGAATGCAGAGTGGCAGGGCTGTGATCAGCTGTGAGTACCTGGCAAGGACAAAATCCTTCAGGAGGAGCAGGTGCACTGCCTAACATTGCAGTCGTACATGCAGGGGCTTTTTGTGCAGCTGTCAGAAACTCAGCCTTGTTTCTGTGCAAGTATTGCTGCTGTACAGACAGCTAAGGAATATGTTTATCATTCTAAAATGGTCTTTCTTTGCGGGATAGTGAGGTAAGTCTACAAAATTCCCCTAGCTCAGGGCAGTATCCACACTCATGCTTGTCCCTCATCTGCCACTGTGTCAGTCACCTGAGCACAGCCCCAAGGCTCCTCTCTCTCCCTCCCACCAACGTGGCTGTTCTCCTCTAGGCACTTCAGCTGCAAGCTGTTCCTAGGAAATTCTCCAGCTGACAAAATCATGTACAGCTCTCACAGATGTTGGCCAAAATCCTGTTGGGCAATCCTCTTCATGTCATGTGCTGCAAGTAAAGGGAGGCTGTTTCATGGCCTGCAAAACACAGGGGTTTTTCCATAGTGGCTTCTAGACAACATGCATACACTGTGGCCTAAAAGGGACTCCGGCACAAAGGAGAAGGCAGAACAATCCCCCTGCACAGGTGGGCCATAAGTGTCTGCCTCTGGGGTAGCTTGTGATTCAGCTTAATGAAAGAAGAAAGGAATGCAACTGAAGAGTAAGCAGCAGAAAATCATGAAAAACTAAAGCAGTGCAGCATGACCTAAGATACCTAAGCCTATGACAGAAAACACAGGTCTTGCTTTGAATCCAAACTGAGGGGAAGAGTAGCACTGGATATTGTGGGCCCCTCTGTGGCTCCTCCATTATGTGCAGGAGGTAGTACCAACCAGGACATCATCCCAGCCGTTAGTACACTATCTTGTGACAGTACGCAATGACTGATGTCCTGTGACTTGCTGAGCAAGAGATGGACTCCACCTTTACCTTCTCTCTTTTCTAGGCAGACTTCTTTCTCTCTTTAACCTGAGAGAGATGGTATTAGTACTCATTTATACATATTACTGCATATTTGTATAACCCTGGCATTACATTCTGTGCCATACAGAGTAGAAATACAGAACAGTTTGACTGGGGACTTGGCACTAATAAATATGTAAAGATGTGCAGAGAACAGATACCTGCTGTAAAGTGAATAAAATTTTGTCTATATAATTTAGAACATCTAAGGCAGACTGTGCTCACGGTAACCCAGACATCCACTCACAGGAGAGGACGATGAGGTGCTAAAGCCTGAGCCACTTTGATACTTGGTATTTGTTAGGTCACTTTACTGAGTTCTCCCTCTGGGGGGGTTTGATACAGAACTGATAGTGTCACATTTCTTCTGCCTGTTTGTATGTTTTGGCTGCTACTGCCCTTCCATGAATCTGCAGTCTGCTAGCTTTATCTGTTTGTGACATTCCAGGATTGTTTTCAGATTTTTGTAAGTCAGAACCCCAGAAAAAGGAAAACTGAAATGTGACAGAGGCACTGTGCAGAGATGGAAGGGACTAGGGGGTCCTCACTTCTTAAGAGGCAAACAAACGTGTAGTGGAATTTCTTGCAACTAACAGTTTCCTATAATCATTGCAGTGGAAAGTCAATCTTCGAAAAGGAAGCTTAAACAATTCTGCCAAAAACATCACAACAAAGTTTTCCAAGTTTCCAAAATATGACGGAAAATATCCTTCGGGGTCAACAAGTTGAACTGCAAGCCCTTCCCAGGGCTGTGACCAGAAACACAGAAAGATGGATCCTTTCCAAGAGAGGCTGCTGGGATCTGAAGCAGCACGGGAAGACGCCCCAGGCGAGCTGCTGTGGCTTGGGGC